TAACAATTGTGCAAATTGTGGTAAAAGCATGAAAATTTAAACATAGGTTCTTGAGACCATTTGGAAACTTTTGGCCCGCATCCCATTTCGATCACTTCGTGTGGAGCCCAGATATTGAACAGTTCTTGAACACCTTGAACAAAACACATTTTACCATCTCTTTTTCACTAAACGGGCGTATAGAAGGACTCTCGTGCGTGGATTTGTACAGCAAGACCATGCACTCGGTCTAGAGAGACCACCAATAACGTACAAAGGCCCCTGTTCAACATGTGTCCAAGTTTGAACACTTATTGAACAGTAAACAAAAGTTGCGCTTTTGTGGCGTGTAGGGTGTCATTTTCAGCTAATTTGATGTCGCTGGACTCGATTCCGACACCAGATTTGAGTTTTGTGACCTCCGTGACCTCGGTATGACGATGCCTGCGCAGGTTGCCTACCTGTCAGGCGCATGGTCGCGCGCAAGTGTCTCGCACCCGGGCTGCGCGCGCTGTTCTGTTGCTGCGGTGGTAAAAGCAGCGGGGCTCGCGAATTTTGTGAACCCCTTGACCCCTCCCTTTCTCCCTGAGGTTACCTGAGTGCATGCCAGGGGTAATATTGCGGTAATTGCCTACCTTCCAGGCGTCAGAAACTGGAAAACACTAAATACTTTATTTTCACGGTTTCCGAACGAAACAAATTTCGTGTTATATGTGTCGGAAATGTACACACTACACACCCAGAAGAGCGTTAGTCCAGAGAACCAAATTAAAAACCGACGAAATTTTAGCTCTGGAGACCAAAATTTATCCGTGGCGATGAAATAATCTAGTCTATCTGACTTAATTTGATTGGTGCGACCATATTTACTTAAAAATGAGGTTTACTAAATTTTAGTCGGTTTTAGGAACTAAATTTTGTTTCTTACAACCCTGATTTAGTTGTATCAACTAAATGGTTCTCTAGGTTGCCTAAAGCGATTCACTGATTTAATAAATGTGCAACTGCTCAACGCTTGTACCAAAGTGTGCAACTGCAATTTAAATAATTGCAAGTGTTGTTCAACTCGGTAGATGTGCACTTGCAAGTGTGCAACTCCTCGGTTGAGCACTTCCTACACACTGACAGTTCAATCTTAGGTAGTGTTCAACCAATTATTTGCACACTTTGCTATATATTCAAAAATGCAGTTGCACACTTACAAGTGTTGAGCAGTTTCCCACTTAATTATCAGTGTTGGCAGTGGCAGTGGGTCCTCTGGTTTGTCCGAGGGGGCAATAACTCCAATTCAAGTGTACACATGATTCCCGGAATCCATGATTTCCGTTAATTCCTATTTATTCCCGTCGTGATTCTTATTGATTTCCGTTGGTTTTCGTCGTGATTCTCATTGAATCCCGCTGATTCCCGGGCCGGTGTGTACACGTGATTCCTAGAATTATTGCCCCCTCGGGTTTGTCCTGGCTCTCCTGCACGTCCTGTTCGATGACCTGCTCGATAATCTAGCTGCTGCTACTCTTTGCTGGTCAAAAAATTGCATTAATTTTGGTACGGACTAAAATGTTTTGCTCAACAGCTGCAATGTTTAGTTTCGCAGCTCCTTTTCACCCTCACATGACCCATGACCCGGGAGGCTTTCCCTCGGAATTTTCGTGTACAGTGTATGACATATTACGTGTATTACGCGGTATTACGCTGGTATTACACAGGCTTGGCAACCAAAGTTATACCATTTTAGAGCGTGCCCCCCGTCTCCGTATAAACCCGTAGTTCCAGGCAGCTCCGTACAGACACGTAGTTCAGCGGGTCCCCGGAAAATGTCGTTAGTGCTTGAAGAAGGCTTAATGCCGAAGAGTATAAGTCATGCAAAAGGGGCTGCGAAACTAAACATTGGAGCTGTTGAGCATCAAATCTCGAATGCGCTGCTGCAAATCGTTCAAGGGCAGATGTACAAACAACAGGTATTCTTATTTATCTGCCAAAACATTTTAGTCCGTACCAAAATTAATGCATTTTTTTTTTTAAGAAGCAAAGAGTACCAGCAGCCAGGTTATCGAGCAGGACATCGAACAGGACGTCCAGGAGAGCCAGGACAAACCAGAGGACCCACCGCCATCGCTGATAAACTAAGTGAGCAGATGCTCAACACTTGTAAGTGAGCAACTGCAATTTGAATACTAGCAAGTGTGCAAATCATTGGTTGAACACTACCTAAGATTGAACGGTCACTGTGTAGGAAGTGCTCAACCTAAGAGTTGCTCACTTGCAAGTGAACATCTACCGGTTGAAAATTATTTAACTTGCTGTTGCACACTTGGTGCAAGTGTTGAGCAGTTGCACATTTATTAAATCAGTGAATCGTTTAAGGCTACATTTCCGCCACATATAACACGAAATTTGTTTCGTTCGGAAACCGTGAAAATAAAGTATTTAGTGTTTTCCAGTTTCTGACGCCTGGAAGGTAGGCAATTACCGCAATATTACCCCTGGCGTGCACTCAGGTAACCTCAGGGAGAAAGGGAGGGTTCAAGGGGTTCACAAAATTCGCGAGCCCCGCTGCTTTTACCACCGCAGCAACAGAACAGCGCGCGCAGCCCGGGTGCGAGACACTTGCGCGCGACCATGCGCCTGACAGGTAGGCAACCTGCGCAGGCATCGTCATACCGAGGTCACGGAGGTCACAAAACTCAAATCTGGTGTCGGAATCGAGTCCAGCGACATCAAATTAGCTGAAAATGACACCCTACACGCCACAAAAGCGCAACTTTTGTTTACTGTTCAATAAGTGTTCAAACTTGGACACATGTTGAACAGGGGCCTTTGTACGTTATTGGTGGTCTCTCTAGACCGAGTGCATGGTCTTGCTGTACAAATCCACGCACGAGAGTCCTTCTATACGCCCGTTTAGTGAAAAAGAGATGGTAAAATGTGTTTTGTTCAAGGTGTTCAAGAACTGTTCAATATCTGGGCTCCACACGAAGTGATCGAAATGGGATGCGGGCCAAAAGTTTCCAAATGGTCTCAAGAACCTATGTTTAAATTTTCATGCTTTTACCACAATTTGCACAATTGTTACGAGAATTTGAGTGTACCTCTTGCACTACTTTTACTCTCCTCAGGGCAAATCTCCTCTGGCAGTCGCCTAGCCGTGCGAGCCCGTCGGGCCGTCGGGTACACCGGGAGCAACCCAAAAGACGGCACCGTACGGCAGCGGGAGAGGGGCGTTTCTGGGGACGAGTCTAAGTTCGGTCCCTCCCTTGCTGTCAAACGCCGCCGAAGCCGCGGCCGCATGCGCGACTCTGTGGCTGTCCGAACGAGTTAACTGCTCGTCGCCCGCCTGCGGGCCGCCTCCGAACTGGCTCACGCCTGGCGGAGGTTGCCCATCCCTCACACCGGCGGCGAGTAGAGGGTGATTGTTCGGAGGTGTGGGTCGGGCCGTTCTGCTCCACGAGAGTCCGCCGTAACCGGCTTCCTGCGCGAGCACGAGCAGGTCCAGACGTCAGCGGGGCCAGCGGCAGCTCGAGAGGAAAATGAAATGACGAGGGGCGACAGATACACGAGCGAGGGGGTGGGCGCGCGGCCCTTCTTTCTGTTCATCTACTCCGCCATCCTGACCCAAATATCACGTTGAGTCCCACGTGACCACACGTATGGGCACAATAGGCCGTAATTGCGACTCCCCTTGGGACTCAACGTGATATGTGAGGGCCGCCCAGTCCAGCTTGGGCGGACACTCGCTTTCCGTGGAAACACTCGCAGCTGATACTGCTTTCATTGTGGACCTCGAGTTAAGGACTTTTTGTACGAACGGTACAAATACAGTAGCCTCTGCGGTAACCAGGCTGACGGTTGAATGAATTAAGGCAGGAATGGGTGTAGGCCCGATCCCCCGCGGCGTTCAAAAGGAACGCGCCCCGCAAGCCAGGAAATGCGTTTCTGGTGCAAACCTGGTTTGTCACAAAAGAGTGAAATGAACCATTTCCTTTTTTAAAATGATCAATTTTGTAGGATTCTCAAATGTTATGGTTTTTATTTTAATTGCACTTCGTTGGAAATGCTCTTTCCCCCTTCTTTTTCTTAGAGGAATCATCTCTGCAATGTTGTCTATACTTAAAGGGTGCAATTCTTCTTCTTCGTTCTGTTCACTTGTTTTTTGTTTACAAAATTTTGAATGTTGTGATTTGTGACTTCCCTTCTTTGAAACATTATTTCTTTAACACTTTTAGATTTACAATTTGGAGATGTTTGTGCAAGAAAGAGAAAAAGACGAAGACTGTCTTCTCATTGCGAAGATTGACAATGTGAAGAACATTAACAGTGTTATTAAAGCTTTAAACTTCTCTCAGGTTAGGTTTGTTTTCACACAATGCATGTAGCCATTATTCAGTGGGCATTCAGTCCTGCCATAATCATGCACTCAATTAACAAAATTATCTTAATCCCAGGAGGCTGTATGTTTTTTTTCCAAGGATGGACTCAAAGTGACTGTAGAAATAGCAAAATGTGTTCAGGCAAGCGCTTTCATTCAGCTTGACATATTTCAAGTGAGATTAATTTTCTTTACTCGTGACATTACAGATGGATTTGGATTTGTCATGCTATAATCGTATGCTTTTTTGCAGGAATATTCCTATAATGATGAAGAGCAATTAATTTTCAAAGTAGACTTTCATACTTTGGTAGAGTGCTTAAATATGTTTGAAGCATCTGGGATGAATGCAACTGTTGATATGCGAGTTCAAGGGGTTGGTCAACCGTTGTTGTTAATGTAAGTATTTACAGAGCAACAAGGAAATTATCATACCGATCAACAATAATGCTAACATGTAATCACACCTTAGGCTGGAAGAGGATGGAGTTATCTTGGACAGTAGTATAAAAACACAAGACCCAGGAGAAATAGCAGATTTTTCATTTGAGGATGATTGTGTTATAAACAAGGTAATAATTTAAAGCAGTAGATCCCAATACTCAATTTAAAGTAGTGGTTTTCATCAACTACTAAAAATTATTATCTTTACAGATAATTTTAAGGTCAGAGTTTCTAAAAGAAATTTTAGATGAAATGGATAGTACAAGTGAATTTATTGGAATAGAGTTATCAGACAACACCCCCTTCTTTAGATTTTTTATGTCTAGTCGTCTTGGAGAAAGTGAATATCGGGTTGACAAAACAAGTGATATGATAGAATTTTTTGACTGCAAAGCAAGAACTGCATTTAGGTAAGAATTAGATGTTATATATTTGCTAAATAAGACTAGTGAAGCCAATTACACCAATAAATAATATTTTGAACTTAGATATGTACTTTGTTTTTAGGTATCGATTTGAACACTTGAAACACACTGTGAAAGCTATTGCTGTATCACAAAAAGTGTCAATGCGAATGGATGAAAATGGTTTACTATGCTTCCAGTGCATGATGAAGATGGATGATGGCCAAATATGCTTTGTTGAATTCTTTGTGCGTAGAACTTACCTGTTGGCTGGTTATTCTACTCGACATCAATTTTTAATGAACCATTATTTACTTTGCTTTCAGTGTATTCAAGCAACAAACGACGATGGTGGATTAGCTGTAATAGAACCAGCTAATGAATATACTCTTCCTGACCCTTTCTGATTAATATTACTTCCTCCTGTTCCTTCCTACTTATGATTTTGTAGGGGCTGGCTGATGAAATTGTAACAATGCATTTTTAAAATGGTTTACTCAAATTTTAATAATAAATATATGAAATACATGAAATTTGATAATTATTTTGTGGAAAAGGAGAAGTAGATTTCATAACATATTGTGTAATCTCCATAAAGACAGAGTTTCAGACACCAGGGAGTGGCATTTTGATATGCATTGTTGCAAATCAGACGGATCTGGCGAAATGGTGTTATCCACATTAGTAGTTTCTAATGTTTTTGCCATCTGATGAATTTGCTCTGTTTCTTTCATCATCTGGGAGTGAAGAAAAATTTAATAAACAAGATGACTTGAGTTAAGTGAAATTATTGATAGCTAATGAAACCTTAGTTTGTATTTTAACTGAAGAAAAACTCACTTGTACAAATGAAATGACTTTGTCAGAGATCTCCTCAAAGTAATTTCCTAAAACTTCTGCAATAGGGTTTTCTGGCTGTTTCCTCACAGCAGGAAAAACTGTGGTTTCAATATGCCTGTAGCATTCCTGAATCTTCTTGATACTTTCTAAAAACTTTTCTCTGTAGTCACTACTAG